CCCAGTGTTCAACAATATGATAGCACAGGGAGTGGTGTCGGCGCCGGTCTTCTCCTTCTACCTAAACCGAGACATCGGCGGACAGACGGGCGGAGAACTGGTATTTGGCGGCTCAGATCGCGACCACTATACCGGCAACTTTACGTACGTCCCGGTGACCCGACGGGGCTACTGGCAGTTCACTATGGATGGGTTGAGTGTAGGCACCGCTGCCCAAAGTGGCGGCCAGTATTGCGTGAATAGCTGTCAGGCCATCGCAGACACCGGCACTTCGCTGATCGTCGGTCCGTCCGATGAAATCGCGGCCATTAATCAGGCCATCGGTGCCGTCGATGAGGGAAACGGCGAGTATTTGGTTGACTGCAGAACTCTGGACTCATTGCCTGACATTACGCTTACGATCGGCGGTCAGGCGTTTCCGTTGAGCCCCTCATCCTATTTGTTACGACAGTCCGCACCCGACGGACGGACGCAGTGTTTGTCCGCTTTCACTGCCGGCGGTTCAGACCCGCTATGGATTTTGGGCGATGTATTTATCGGCAGATATTATACTGAATTTGATTTCGGTAATAATAGGCTGGGATTTGCGCCAACCAAATAAATTGTTGCTTTATATAACTATTAATTACTTATATGTTAATTATATATAAGGATAAAAATTTTTGGGAATGTCTAACAAATTTATAATTTTATTTAATTAAATAATTAAAATATTTAAGCTTACTAAATGCTGACCATTAAATTGTTTAGAATGTCACTGAAGAGACATAAATTGCTAACAATTAATATCACTTAAATATAGTAAAATACAAAAAATAAATTATAATATTCTGATTAAAAAATATTGCGCTTCTCCCGTATAATCAATTTTATTAAATTTTTTAATTTATCACTATTTATAATTTAATTAATTATTTAGTATAACAGTTTATATTAAAAATTAGTTGTTTGTATTTTTCATGTTTTTATGTGTATAATAAATATAAAATAAATTCTTGTTTTTAAATCTGTGGTCATTTTTAGCAGTACTGGTCGTTTGTCTGGTGTCTGTTTGCCGATAAATTAACGGGTATTTTATTGTTTGAAATAATTTATTGTTAATAATTTCAACTAATTTTTAACTATATTTATATGAAAAATAAAAATATGTTTGAAATCATATCAAACATTTCGAGAACAAGATTAAAATAAATACTATTAATATAAATGTTATTAATTATTAATTGTATATCTTAATCTTTTTCAGATCAATGCTATAATGAATGTACAGTTAATTAACGTGTATTTAATTATTAAACGATTTCGACAAACATTAATCATTATTGTATCAAATGTTTATGTTTAACATTAAATCTATGTATTTAACGGTTTTGATAATTTGACTTACATATTAATTGAATATTCATAAATTGATAAATCCATTGACAAACTGTTACAAAATTGGTTCATTGCAATTATTTATAGTAATCATAATATAGACCCAATTATATTAAATTAAGATTGTATACACCTTTTTAAAATTAAACTGCATTTATTTGTATTTACAAATAAAGAGTGTATTTATGTAATTATTTATTAATATGTATTTTTAATGATACCATTAAAAAAACAAGTTAATCAATCTAATTAAATCCTAACGTATTTAATAAAACATATACTAAACATAAGTAAATATTCTTAACAATTTAAATATAAAACTAAATAATGTTTGCTACATTAAAACTGTAATTTTATGAAATAGCATTTATTTTAAATGTACAATTTTAAGTTTAAAAAAACTTATGGGAGATCAGCACAAACAGTATTTAAACTAATTTTTAATATATAATTTGTTAACAATTAAATTATTTTTAGTATAGTTTTATTAATTAACAAGCAAAATATAAAATAATATGCATTATATTTAATAGTCTTTTATTAAAATACATTACTATCATTTTATTTTAATGTTAACCATAATAATTTTTAACCACAATTTTGTATAGAATAATGTAGTAAGATCTTGGTGGCTCACTTATAGATTATATTGTACTAAAATATTTTATTTTATTTATGCAGACTGTAATTGCTTTGATGTTACTATTTTTTAGTATTATGTTTAATATTATATTTAATTAAATTGGGATAGTGGAATGGTAAACATTTTAGTTTTTAGTGAAAGAAATTATGAAACAAAACGAGTGGTCAAAACAGGCATTAGACACTTTGTTTACTCCCAGGGCAGCTATTTTTACAAGGAAGCAAAAGATACAGTGCTTACTAGCTGTCAATATCCACGATTATTTCCAATATATTATTTTAATTAATGTTTTATTTTATAAAAAAAATTTATTGTTTAATTATTATAAGAGTTTTTCGAGTGATTAAATTAAATTGCAATTAAAATGAATATTTATTAATAATATTACACAATTAATAACAAATTAATTAATTTAATTAAATCCTAACGTGTTTAACAAAATACATAGTTAATATAAGTAAATATTTATAACCATTTAAATACAACTAAATAGAACTAAACTAAACTAAATAATGTTTGATACATTAAAACTGTAATTTTATGGAATAATAATTATTTTAAGTGTAACGATTTTAATAAAGTAACTTATGGCAGATCCTCCAATGGGCGTTCACAGTATTAACTTTTAATTCATAATTTGTTAAACATTAAATTATTTATAGTATAATTTTTATCAATATAAGATAGTAAAATATACCACAATCATTCTATTTGATTGTTAACCACAATAATTTTTAATTTTATCATCCTATTTGTTGCGACAGTCCGCACCAGACGGACAGACGCAATGTTTGTCCGCTTTCACTGCCGGCGGTTCAGACCCGCTATGGATTTTAAGCGATGTGTTTATTGGTGTATATTATACTGAATTTGATTTCGGAAATAATAGGTTAGGATTCGCGCCAACCAAATAAATTGTTACTTTATATAACTATTAATTACTATATATTAATTATGTAAATAGACCAAAATCTTCGGAAATTCTCAAATAATTTGTAATTCTATTTAATTGAATAATTAAAATGTTTATGTTTACTCAAATTAAGTTGTACAAATCAATAACAATTCATTATTAATAAAATTTATATAAAGAAATTCTTTATTTAGTATACTAAATATTAAATTGATTATAATGTCACTCACATGTGAGGCAACATAAATTGCTAACAATTAATATAACTTGAAAATAGTAAAATATATATTAATTTTATAATGCAATGATTAAAAAATACTGAACTGTTGATCTCGTTTCCAATTTTATTAAATTTACAAATTCATTATTATATATTGAGTATGTGCTATGAGAGCTCCAGGAAAGGCTTATTGCTGTGTAATTTATACTCTATTCAGGTATTACTCACATATAGTGTACATTAGTATAAGGAGTGGGGTTTTTAATGAAAACTTAAATTACATTTATTGTAAACACAATAAAACAACAGGGCACACGATGACTATAATAAATGTAACGATTATAATGAATAATAGTTTACAAAATATCAAGGTAACGCAAAAACCACGTCATGTTATAAAGAGCTAGAGAACAATCTTATTATATATTGTCTTGTAAATCATTAGTGTTACAGTTTTCATTCAAAATAATTGTTTGTATTTTTTATATTCTATCATAAATATAGGACTAAGTTTTAGTTTTAAAATATACTGTGATTTCTAGCATTTCTGGTGATCTGGATGTTTATCTGGTTTGCCGATTCTATAAATAAACTTGTATTTTATTGATTTACGTACATTTTAAAAATATATTTTGGTAGAAAAATTATGAAATCATATCATTGAGATTGATATGAAATCAACCATTTTAAAAATTTCTCTAATATGATTAAAATAAATACTATCAATATAAATGTTGTTAATTATTAAATGTATATTTTAATCATTTTTAGATCAGTGAGTGTACAGCTAATTAACGTCTATTTACTCTTTAAACAATTTTAGCAAAAATTAATCATTATTTCCTTTTTTATAAATTGGTTGTGTTTAACATTAAATTTATGTATTCAATCAGACACCATTTAAATATTAAATTAATTTAATAATTATTATAATTAGTTATATTGTAAATTTATAAATCTACAGTTTTAGAACTATTTTTTATAAATATACTATTTGCTTTGTTTATAATATTGAATTCTTTTAATTTTATTTTATTGTATAATTAAATTATCTATGTTTACTAAAGTTTAGTTGTTTATAAATCAATAACGATTTATTATTATTAAATGAATACCACAATTAAATAGTTTTCATCTGTTACGAATAAATATGCTGAACATTAAGTTGTTTAGAATGTCATTAACGGGACATAAATTGCTAACAATTTATGCTAATATCACTTAAAAATAGTAAAATACATAATAATTTCATAATCTACTGATTAAAAAATATTTCGCTTCCTTCTTCTTAACCAATTTTATTAAATTATCAGATTTGTCATTATATATAATCTTCATAATTATTTGTTGTTACAGTTTTAATTAAAAATAGTATTTTGTATTTTCCGTGTTTTGATGTTTATAATAAATATAAAACAACGTTTAGGTTTTTAATCTGCGGTCACTATATATCAAATCTATCACTATATATAATTTTGTGTTACGGTTTAAATTAAAATTAGCTGTTTGTATGTTTCACGTTATGTGTATACTAAATCTAAAAATAGGTTTAGGTTTTTAAATGTGCGGTCATTTCTATCAGTACCGGTCGTCCGGTTGTTTGTCTGGTGTCTGTTCGCCGACTCTATGAATGAACGGGTATTTTATAGTTTGAAATATTTTTTAAATAATTTAAACTAATTTTCAAATATATCTTAATGAAAAATAAATACATGTTTAAATCATATAAACCATTTTGAACATTTCGAAAACATGATTGAAATAAATACTATTAATATTAATGTTTTTAATTATTAATTGTATATTGTAAACATTTTTAGATTAATGCTATAATGAATGCACAGCGAATTAACGTGTATTTAATTTTTAAACAATTTTAACAAAAATAAATCATTATTTCTTTCTGTATAAAATGGTTGTGTTTAACATTAAATCTATGTATTTAACGGTTTTGATCATTTGATTTACAGATTAATTTAGAATTTATAAAAATAATAAATCCATTGACAAACTGTTATAAAATTGGTTTATTGTAAATATATATATAGTAATTATAATATTGACTAAATTATATTAGATTAAAATAGTAGATTTTTAAAAATTAAACTGCATTTAATTGTATTTACAAATTAATAATGTAATTATTAATAAATATGTATTTTTAATAATAGCGTACAAGGGAAAACAAATTAATCAATTTAATTAAATCCTAACGTGTTTAATAAACTATATAGTAAATATAAGTAGATATTGTTAACATTTTAAATATAAAACTAAATATTTGCTACATTAAAATTGTAATTTTATGAAATAACATTTATTTTAAATGTAGCAATTTTAATAAATTCAATTATTGAAGATTAATATTCATGATATTTAAACTAATTGTTAATTCATAATTTGTTAAAAATTAAAATATTTGTAGTATAATTTTTATGAATAAACAAG